CATTTGAGATTTAATGGAGACGTTTTATAATTTAAAGGTTTTGTAAAACCTTTTTACAATTATGAGGAAACAAAGTTATGTAGATATTTAAGTTATTGAACTGTAGAACTCATAAGGTTTTACTATATTGTTTATTCATATATCAGATCTAATTTATATGTGTATAATGTATGTACTTCAAAATTAGATTGCTTTTCTAAAAAGGTATTTGGTAGTACCTTAAACTTCCTTGGGATTTAGTTAGAAGTACATCATTCCTGTGGGTTATGTTTGGAGATAATGGTGACAAGTATTGTAATTTTTGTGAAGATTCTACACATCTTCCCTGTGAGATCCGAGTCGTCTCCTAGGATCACTTCCTTTCCTGTGAGAGAACAGTTTCTCAGCTATTTTGGGATGAGTCCTATCCCTTGGAAGTTGGTCCTGATCACAATGATAATGAGAACAAGAGGGTGGTTTAACTGTTTCTACAATATAAATATATAATTAATGCAGCCACTGGAGAGTTAAATTCATTAAATTTGGTGTATAAGTATTCAATATGTACAAATTAAAGTAATGGTGTTTCTATAATCAAAATCTAATTATTTTGTTTTTTGCCTCCTCAGCGCTGGCTGACAGAGCAGAGAGCTCAGTGTCCTCATTGCCGGTAATTGTTTTGCTATGATTGTTTGTGAATTTGGAAAATAATAAGGTGGTGGAGTTGGAGGGTGCCAGAGCATTAATAAAATTCTTTCTGCAGTCTGCTGCATTTCTCCTCTTTGTAAATACCACTGGAAAGAAATCTTTCTAGATACAACAGTGCAAACTAATTTATCTGACTTAGAATTATGTAGAATGCATTACATTGTTTACCCTCTATAGAAGATCATGTGCAACTTCTTATCTTACCTTTTAAAAAAGATTCTATTTATTTTAAAGAGAGGGGAAGACAGGGAGAGAAACATCCATGTGGTTGTGCCCCCAGCTGGGGACCTGGTCCGCAACCCAGGCTTGTGCCCTCACCAGGAATTGAACTAGTGACTTTTGGACTTGCAGGCTGACGCTCAGTCCACTGAACCACACCAGCCAGGGCCCTTTTCATTTAACTTACTTTTTATAATGAAAAAATTTTTTCAAGGTTTCTGGTTTAGAAAATCTTGATAGTATAGATAAGTATAAAATAAAAAGACTTCTGACTGTTTCTCCCTGCCTAGTCTTTTTATGAAGTAACACTCTCAGGTGAAACTGTTGTGTTTGGTGTCTGTTCTTCTAAACAGTTTTCTGTGTGTATACTGATGCGTATACATATTATTTTTCTTACAACACAAATGATACAATACTTTTTTGCTTTTTAAATGAAAAATATACCTTTGTTGGTACACACGTGTCATTCAAAAACATGTTTAAATAGCCCTGGCTGTTGCAGGTCAGTGGATTGAGTGCCTGCCTCTGAACCAAAGGGTCGCTGGTTCTATCCCCAGTCAGGGCACATGTCTGGGTTTTGGTCCAGGTCCCCAGTGGGGGGTGCGCAAGAGGCAACCACACACTGATGCTTCTCTTCCTCTCTTTCTCCCTCCCTTCCCCTCCCTCTAAAAGTAAAGAAATAAAATCTTTTAAAAAATGTTTAATCTATTATGTGATCATACATTTATTTATGTTTATATTGAGAGACATTTAGATTGTTTCCACTCTGGTTATTTCAGACAATGATGTCAGACCACACTGAAGGATAGTTTGTTTTTTTTTTTACCATTTTGCCTTCCTAATAAAAGATGTGGAAGTTCCTTTTCCTCACATTCGTATGAATGCTGTCTATTACCTATATCATTTTTAAAAATTATTCATTTTTAGAGAGTGGGAAAGGGAGGGAGAAAGAGAAGGTAAGAAACATCAGTGTCAGAGAGAAACATTGATCAGTTTCCTCCCTTATGTACCCTTACTGGGGACCGAACATGCAACCCAACCAAGTGGCCTCGAACTGGCTGGCGACCTTTCACTTTGCGGGATGATGCCTGACCAATTGAGCCACACCAGTCAGGGCAGTCTGTCATTTATTTTCATTCTGCTACGTGAAAAATTGTATCTCATTTTTAATGTTTTTTTAAAAACCATTAAACTGAGCATCTTTAGAACTATTTTTAGACATTTATATTTCTTTTATCTTAAACTATCTCCACATCTTTTGCCAATTTTTCTTCATGTATTACCTTTTAAGAACTGCATTATCAAATGGAACTCTGTAATGATGGAAATGTTTTATAACGTTGCTATCCACTTCATTAGCTACATGTGGCAATTGAGCACTTCAAGTATATCTGGTGTAACTAATAAAATTTTATTTTTACTTTATTTTACTTTGAATTTTATTTTATTATATTTCAATTAATTATCCTCACTTGAGGGCATTTTTCATTGCTTTTAGAGAAAGAGGAAGGGAGAGAGAGAAAGAAATAAGAGGGAGGGAGGGAGGAGGAGAGAAAGAAACGTTGATATGAAAAACATCAATTGGTTGGTTCCCTTTTCATACGTGTCCTGACCAGGGATTGAACCTGCAACTTAGGTTTGTGCCCTGACTGGGAATTGAACCTACCATCTTTCAGTCTGTGGGATGATGCTCCAGCCAACTGAGCCATATTGGCTAGGGTTAATACGAATTTTAAATAGTCACATATGGCTAGTGGCTATCATTTTGGACAGTATAGCTTTATAATAAAGAATTAAGAATTCAATCTGTAATCTGAATCGTCAGTATTTTTTGTTTAGGTTTTTTTTTTTAAGTGATTAACATTGACATAAAAATAAGTTACAGTACATACTTTTTATTGTGTCTTTGTTATATTAGTAATATAGTATGAATGCGATTGTGAGCTCTGTTTTGAGGAATGTGTTTTCTTAATCATTTCTTTTTTCCAGCTTTATTGAGATATACTGTAATTTAAAAAATCGTAAGATATTTAAAGTTAGGATTTGATATATGTATAATTGTGAGAGGATTTTCTTCCATCAAGTTAATTAACAGAGCCATAACCTCACATATTTGCCTTTTGAACGTGTTTATTTTAGAAAATAATCTCAAGTTCTTTACTTAAGTGTATGTATATGTCTTCTCTCCAGTGCTCCACTGCAGCTGCGAGAACTAGTGAACTGTCGTTGGGCAGAAGAAGTAACGCAGCAGCTCGATACTCTTCAACTCTGTAGTCTCACCAAACATGAAGAAAATGAAAAGGACAAGTACGTCTCCATTTCTGTTATTTAATGGGTTTTGCTTTATGTTATTTTAATGAAAGGATTGAAGGATTTATCTTTAAAGATTTTATTTTTATTTAGTTTTAGAGAGAGAGCACGGGAGGGAGAGGGAGACAAACATCAATGTGCAAGAGACAGATAAAGTGGTTGCCTCTTATACGCCCCCAACTGGGGACCTGGTCTGTTGCAATCCAGGCTTGTACCCTTACTGGGAATTGAACCAGCCACCTTTTGGTTCACAGGCTAGTGTTCAGTCAACTGAGCCATACCAGCCAGGTCTGGGGTTTTTTGTTTTTTGTTTTTTTTAGTTTTGTAGGTAAATACATTTTTTTTTTCTGGCGTGGTGCAGATATTACTCTCTGGAAAGACCCTTGTAACTTTTTAAAAAAATATTCACCCAAGGACATATTTTTATTGCTTTTAGAGAGGGAGGAACATCGATCAGTTGCCTTCTCATACATGCCCTGACCAGGGCTGTGCCCACAACCTGGGCATGTACCCTGACCAGTCAGTGATGAAACTCGCAGCCTTTCAGTTTATGGGGTCAACACCCCGACCAGCTGAGCCGCACTGGCCAGGCTGATGCTGCTTTCATCAGAGCCTAGTGGGACTGCCACGGTTGCTGATCTCTTTTCTTTGCCTCTTGATGCCTCCTGGCTTCCCTTGGGTTTGCTGAAGGTGCCTGTAGGTCATTGATTAAGAATTGTTCTGATAAGTTTCCTGTATTTTAAAAGCTATATTCTAAATTTGATGGTATGGAAATCATACTAACTGAGCTTCCAGACAATAACTAATATGCTGTTTCTTCATATCTTTATTAATTTTCTCTTTGATACTTAAATTACTTATAAATGAGAATATAAAATGTAGGCCTATTTGGGTATTTTTCTTTAAGCTCAGTGTACTTCAATGATGAGCAGAACAAATACAACACTGTCTCTTTAAAGGCAAGAGGAAACTTGAAGGGATTTTTTTATTGTGGTAAAATATAACATAAAATTCACTGTCTTAACCATTTTTAAGTGTACAGTTCAGTAGTGTTAAGCATGTTCACATCGTCACACACTCTCTACCAGGGCTGTTTTAACAGAATAGTACAGACCAGGTGGCTTGAACAGTGTGTTTACTTGCTCACAGCTTTGGAGGCTGAAAGGAAATCCAAAGTCAAGGTATTGTCATGTTCGGTTTCTGATGAGACCTTTCTCCTTGACTTGGATAAGGCTTTTTCTCTCTGTGTCCTCATGTGGCTTTTTCACTACACGTACACACACTTCACACTGACGGCCTGAAAGGCCCTGTTTCAAGGAACATGTATAAAGGACCCATGGACAGAGCCAGAAGCGGGGAGGAAAGGGAGTGGGGCGGGGGAAATTGGTGGTGGGGAAATGGAGACAACTGTGTTTGAACAGTAATAAAAAAATGATTTAAAGATCATATATTTTAATAGCTGAAGCAGATAAAAGTAAAGGAGTCAGTTTCACCAAAGTTAAAAGCATGCGATGTTAACTCAGCTACTTTATATGTGTCACTTTAGGGCAGCACTGACCAGTAAAAGTGTGATGTGTGCCACTTACACAATTTTAAGTTGTCTAGTAGCCACATTAAAAAAGGAAAAAGAACTGATTTGAAAAAAAAGGCCCTGTTTCTTAGAACAGTTATGTTAGGACTTTCAACATAGAAATTGGGTGGGCTGGGGGGTGTGGTATGCAGTTCAGTTTATACCAGGTCCATCTTCATTCTTTTGCAAGTAGATATCCAGCTTACTTATTTCTTAACATATGGAACACTTCACAAGTTTGCGAGTCAGCCTTGCTCAGGGGCCATGCTAATCTCTATCATGCCAGTTTTAGTGCATATGCTGCCGAAACAAGCAGCATATACAGGAAAGCTTAAAAATTGAGTTCATTTTTCATGAGGATCTGCAATTAGTTTGTACAGTTAATCACGTTTAGCAAAAGGATTTGTGTGTGAATATAATCTCACATAATCTGATTTGCCCCAAAATGTAGGAGCAGGCTAGAATTTATCATCTATAGCAGTAGATGCACACCGGTATGCCGCAAAAAAATTTAAAGTGTTACCTGACTGGTTAGTCAGGGGCACTGGCTTCTTTTGGATTGTCAAGTAAAATGATAACAGTCAACACAGTAATAGCTATTCAGCGTGAATGAATAATAAAAATTAGAACTCTTGTTTTTTGTCAGATCAGCAAAAAATATATTATTGGTATGCCACGAAATTTTAGTAATTAGTATATATATGCCATGAGATGAAAAAGATTGAAAATCCTTGATCTGTAGTGATGCTAGGAAATGATGTCACATTTGTACTTTATTCAGAAACTGTTCTGCATTTTTCATGTGATTCTGAGTTTTTATAGATTAATGAAAATAGTATTTGAAAAAAAAATTGTATTCCAATGTAATTCTTTAGGTTGGTTTACAGAAGCATGGAATACAGTTTATATTGTTTTCTTAGATATAATTGTTTAAAATTGACCAGCTTTCCCAGACTTAGGAATGTGTTGAGGTAATTATGTTCCAGTATTAATTTAATGTATAACTGTATTTTTTTTCATAACATGTAGATGTGAAAATCACCATGAAAAACTTAGTGTATTTTGCTGGACTTGTAAGAAGTGTATCTGCCATCAGTGTGCACTTTGGGGAGGAATGGTGAGCAGAACAAATTCAGCATATTGTTTTAGAGACTAGAAAACACTGAAGTGGTTGTTTGATTTAGATGGAAAGTAATATTTTACTGTTTATAGAGTGAAAATTAAATGATTCTGCTTTATAACAAACAGTATCATTCCTTCTGTTATTAAAGAAAAACATCTTTTGTGGGAGGTTTTGCTATGGGATGTGTATTCCTTGAATAAATATTTTCTTTTCATTGTAAACATATAAAATGTCTATCCATCTGCAGATCTTTTGTTGTAGGATCAAGGTTTGTTTGTTTGTTTTTGTTTGTTTATTAAAGGTCAGTCGATCTCATGTCCTGGCCACAATTTCCAGTTTTGGTTTATTTAAAGTGGAGCAACAACTTTGAAAAATATGAAAATATGAATGTAAATACCTATATCTTATTACTTGTTTTTAATTTTTTCCAATCTAATTAAAATTTAGGGGTTTTTTTTTTAGCTTCTTTTTTTAAGCTTTTATTTATTTTTTAGAGGGGAAGGGATGGAGAAAGAGAGGGACAGAAATATCAAATATGTGGTTGCTTCTCGCATACCCCCTAACTGGGGACCTGGTCTGCAACCCAGGCATGTGTCCTAGACTGGGAATCAAACCAGGGACCTTTGGTTAGTAGGCTGGTGCTCAATCCAATGAGCCACATCAACCAGGGCTAAATATAGTTTTTTAAGGTTACTTACCTTTATCAAGTCTAAAACATTCGAGTTTTCCTAGAAATAACTTTTTAATTTTATATTTGTGTTCTAGTGTTTAATCAATATTATTATATACTTAGAGTAATAAGTACAATAGACATAAATAGGTTTGAGAATAAATAATACATTTTTGGTGGGGAAAGTTAGCCATAGTGGGAGCAGAAGGTGGTTAGACACCTAGAAGTGGCTGTTAGCAATGAGAGTTAATCATTCTTTGGTCATCACATGTTTTAGAGAGAGAACGGCATGCAAGTTGGTGGAGTAGAGCTCCAAATAAGAGAGCTTGCTGCTGGAATTTGAATACTCCTGGGCTGACTAGAAAAATATCAGTTCCCACAATTTAGTACTTTAAATAAAGGATTTTGTAAGAAGCAATGGAAACATTTTTTCCATATTTTAAGTCGATGTGCAAAAATCCACATCTTTTTCTTTTCTTAGAGACCATGGCTCGGTGTTTTGGTGAACAAAATAAATTATGTTATAGGAAATTTCTTATAATAGAAGTTTAAGTTCTGTTTACCAATTCAGAGAGTTATAAATTACAATAACTAAAATTGGATAGGAAATTGATTTTAGGTTATCAACTCCCCCCAAAAAGTTTTTTTAATATAGCTGGCTTTGTAAGGTTAATTTGTATGGTCCTTCTGTTTCTGCAGTAACTCTGGTAGGAGGAGTAGGTTCATTGCTTTTGCTAATAGTGTACCATGGGTCTTTCTCTCAAGTGTCTTTCTAATTTATTCAGTGGTGCTAGAGACTGGGTGTTCAGTGGTTTAAGCAACTTCTGGCTTGTTTAACAAAGTAAAGGCAGCCAAAAAGATACAATTCAGTTGAAAATGTTTACCAGGACATTGGTGTTTGTAGGGTGTTAATAAAAGAATGTAAATGCAGGTGAGATATGAAGATGTTCTGAAGCTACTCTTATTCATTAAATAGCACGGTGGACATACCTTTAAACCTTTGGCGGAAATTTACGAGCAGCATGTTACTAAAGTGAACGAAGAGGTAGCCAAACTTCGTCGGCGTCTCATGGAGCTAATTAGTTTAGTTCAAGAAGTGGTAAGACGTTATCCCTTTTATAGCCTGTACTATGTGATTTATTTTTTCATGATGTAAGTCAGATGTTGAAATCAAGACTTGAAAATTTGATAGCATATGTTTATAGCCAAGTCTCACCAACTTCAAACTAGCTGAGGAATTGGGATTCAAATCGCTGGCCTTGTCTACAGTTGGAACCAGGGAATTGCCTCTGACACGAAGCAGAGGATCAGTTAAATAAACATGTGTTTTATAGAATGAATACTGACTTTTAGAAAGGCACTAAGTCATTCATTCTTTGGACCCCCAACTTACGGGAGTTTTTGTTACCAAGGAATGAATTGTTTCTGATGTCCAGAATTGGAAATCAGCAGAATCGAAAGAGTTGTATAAAATAGTACTCTTCCGATGCTGTATGGGTCAAACAGTGTCAGTGAGCTACTTACCATTTATATACAATAAACTTCAAACAATTCAATACTAAATGTACTTTGGGAATGTATTGTGTTTAAAGTTGTCAGAATGTAATGGTTATGAATGAGGTTTAGGGACCATTCCTAACTTAAGATGTCATCTTTGTTTTACAACCCCTTTAGGAATAAAAATTCAGATCATTGTTTATAGCCTCCCTCATACAGAATGTAGTGTTTTTGAGTTGTTTGTATCTATCTACAAAATCCTGTGGGATATAAACAAATGTTTGGTGTCTGTTCGGCCTTTATCTAACTACCTTTTATTTTAATATTTACTCAGCAGTGTTATATTTTGGTCACTAGGGAAAGTGTTCTAGGTTGAGATTCTCACTGCTGGTATTTATAATAATAGTAAGTATAGGAAATGCTGCTGTTTATTTTCTGAGGTATGCTATTATACATTTTATATGTGCTCTGCAATCTTTGAAAATCTATTTTTTTGAATACAATGAAAAACTTTGTAAATTAGAGTGAGTACACACGGTTTTAAAATTTTGTAAATGTATTTTAGTGTTTTGCATGATGTGAACTGACTTTGGTAATACTTGTTTTCAAATAGTGGGGGGGTATTAAGATTTTATTTATTTACTTTTAGAGAGGAAGGGAGGGGGAACGAGGGAGAGAAACATTGAGGTGAGAGAGAAACCTCAGGCTTGTATGCACCTCCACTGGGTTGGAACGCACAGCCTGCTCGTGGGCCCTAACCTGGACTCGAACCAGCGACAACGCCCAACCACCTAAGCCACACTGGTCAGGGATCAGATGGTGGTTTATTATCAGAGAGACAATTGGGGCTTTGAGTATGTGTTCTGTAGATGATACCTAAGCCAATTTTTATAATTATATACCTATCTTTTATTCATTGTTTATTAATTTATCAATTTATTTTATCTATTTTTAAAAACTTCTTTATTCAGTTCATTGTATATAATGTCTTTAAAGCCATGAGTTTTCTGTGATATGTGAACAATAAGAAGTATTGGCCTATAATTTTTAAAAGATTTTATTTACTTATTCTTTAGAGGGGAAGGGAAGGAGAGGGGGAAACATCAGTGTATGGTTGCCTCGCGTGCATCCCCAGCTGGCCTGCATCCCAGGCATGTGCCCTGACTGGGAATCAAACCACGATCCTTTGGTCCACAGGCCTCTGCTCAATCCACTGAGCTACACCAGCCATGGCTGGCTTATAATTTTTAAAAAGGAAATCAATTAACCTTAAAAATAATTGCAGCGATTAATGTTTGTTTGCTTCCGTTTTAAAAAATCCTTCAATTAAAATTTTTTTACCTGCTTATTTTCTAGGAAAGAAATGTAGAAGCTGTAAGAAATGCAAAAGATGAGCGTGTCCGGGAAATTAGGAATGCAGTGGAGATGATGATTGCTCGGCTAGACACACAGCTGAAGAACAAGCTTATAACCCTGATGGGTGAGTGCTTTTCTGTGCTGCTGGGGTCCCCGGGGCTCTGAGTCTTCTTGAGGTTCAGTCTTTGAAAAGATTGGTGAGTTGCTTAGGCTAGCAAAAGATTGGTTTAAGAAACAAAAGTTCCTTCTATTAAGTGTTACCTTGTCCAAAAACATTGCTCCAAATCAGTGTAACTTCTGCTAGCCTCTTGAGGCATGCTTCCAGCTCTTCAGGTTTTGTGATTTTTCAAAAGAAAATGGTCTGATTAGGCAAGTGTGCCTACCGTGTTGACTTTTTTTAAACATGTCAAACAGTTTTTTTTCTTCCTTTTTTGATAGTTTCTATAATAATAATACCTTTATCCGTCTGTGTTTCCAGTTTCTTGAGACTATTTTTCTTGGGGGGGGGATTCTTTTTTTTTACAAGTTATGTTCCAAGACCATACCTTTTCTGCCATTTAACCTAAGTATATGGCCAACTTACTACATTCTTTTTGAGCCACAAGTTAAATTTTGGGGAGGAATTATTTCAGAATAGTTGACTGAGTAAAAATTTACTTTTCTAGATTTTTATAGTCCTTTTGAATAGGCAATAACATTATTTTCTTTACAAAGTACATTGTCATTGTATATTTCTCAGGTGAATTTAATAGACCTAAATTGCATTTTACTTAAAATGGTAGTTAGAGTTGGTTCTGAAATCCTCTTGTCAAAGCTGCTGCAATATTAAATTCAACCTCTTTTAAAGCTCTGAGCCCTGGCTGGTGTAGCTCAGTGGATTGATCGCGGTTCGATTTCCAGTCAGGGCACATGCCTGGGTTGCAGGCCAGTCCCCAGCAGGGGATGTATGAGAGGCAACCGTACATTGGTATTTCTCTCCCTCTCTCCTTCCCCTCCCTCTAAAGATAAATAAATAAAATCTTTTAAAAAAAGCTCTGGAAAAAAATTTTAAGGTAGCTGTAATGAAGTTTTGCTGTCCTAAAATTGATGCCTTGTTATTGAATGTACTTAGTGAATTTCATTCTTAAACCAATAATGAGCCTGAGCATTGGTATTTTGCTGTTTTTAAATAGGTCAGAAGACTTCTCTAACGCAAGAAACAGAACTTTTGGAATCCTTACTTCAGGAGGTAGAGCACCAGGTAATGAAATATTAAATGTAATAAAGTCTTTATCATTTTTGGCCACGTACGTTAAAAATTTTTTAATACAGATTATAGAAAATCAAAAGATCTGGTGATACATGTGCTGTACTGGAAATTTTTATGAAATAAAATTTAGTTGATTTTTTTCCTCAAGTTTTCTCCATCATGTTTGGGAAGTAGATACAATTAAGATTTATTGTTTTGTAAGGATGGAATTATTTTTACTGGGAATAGAGCATAGGATCTAATTCTCTAAATGATTAAAATCATCTGACATTGTGATTTAAGTGGTGCCTTTTGAGATAGAATGTTATTGCCAGTTATTTACATATAGTGATTCTTATCCTACAGTTAGGATTTTTATTTAAGGAAATTTTGGTTTAAGTACCAAATAAATAGCAGGCATTGTTTTAGATGCTTGGAACACAGCACTGAACAAAATGGAAAACTATCTGTCTTTAAAGAGTTTGTGTTTTAGACTGTGGGTAGGTAGGTGTGAAGTATAATATAGTGAATGAATAAATAAAATGTGTAGTGTTAAATAGTTATTTGACATGTCCATTTGCCTTTTTTTTTTTTTTAATGTATCATCCTTGTGTAGGGGCCAAGCTAATCTCTATCATTCAAATTTTAGTGTATGTGCTGCCAAAGTAAGCACTGTATTCATGTTTTGAATTTGGTTTTTGAAATTTTAAAATTTCTTCCTATGCCTGATACATAGCTGTCTCCTGGTATTGTTATATTAATTATCATCCTAGGGATTTCCTTTACTTCTGTCTTGGGTTGATTCACATTTCCTGATTCTCATGGCTTTTACTCTCTTGGCTCACTCATTTGTTTTGGTATTATACTTCCTCTTGTAGCTTTCCTGAAAGGATAATTAGAATAAATTTTTAAGACTGTCTGAAAATAATTTGTATTTTCTATTGATTACTATTGATTGAGACTTTGGCTGGTAGCATTCAGTATATACATATTTATTTAAATGTTCTTGTTTTTCTCCTTAGTATTCCCACTCATAGTTGTGCGTGTTGTTCCCTTGGCCCAGAGACTTTATTTTGTCTCCTCCAGAGAATTAAACCAGCAACCTTTTACTAAACTGACATGAGAAATTCAAACCAGGTGAAGTAAGGGCAGGGATCTATGCATCTGTGTGCCTTTTTTTTTTTAATAGCTTTTTTGAGGAATAATTGATGTGAGATAAACTGCGTGTATTTAAAGTGTATATTTTGGTAAGTTTTGACAAATATGTACACCCATGAAGCCATTGCCATAGTCAAGATAGAACCATTTTCTCCCAAACTTTCTTTGTGGCTCTGTAAGCTCCTCTGCTTCTCCCCATGCTTCCCCCTCTAAGTAACCCCCCATCTGCTTTCTGTCATTATAGGTAAGTCTGCGTTTTCTAGAGTTTTATGAATGGGAATCATACACATTATGTACTTGTTTTATGTCTGATGACTTTGAGCAAAATTATTCTGCGATTTGTTCACACAATCAGTAATAGTTCTTTCCTTTTTAATTGCTGAGTAGTTTTCTATTGTATGTTATATACCACCATTTGTTTTTCCACTCAACTGTTTATTGTCATTTGGGTTGCTTTTTGTTTTTGGCTTTTACAAATAAAGCTACAGTAAACATTCATGTACAGATCTACATGTATATTTCCTTTTCTCTTGGGTCCATCCAAGAAAGAATGGCTGGGTTGAATGGTAGATAAATGATTAACGTTTTTTGTGCTGCCAAATGTTTCCTGACATGATCGCACCATTTGATACTTCATGACAACATGTGATATAGTCAGTTTTTTGAATTTTAGCTATTCTCATAGGAATGTAATAGTATTTCACTATGGCTTTAATTTGCATTGTCTTACACCTAATTATGCATTAAAACTAAAACTTCAAAAACTAGGGTGACAGCCCATAGATTTGGAAGAGATATTTGTCATTCTTAAGACTGAACAAGAAAGGGTATCTGGAATTCCTAAAGAAATACAGCTCAATCATAAATAGCTAAAACAGTCTCATGAAAATTGGGCAAGGGATATGATCAGGTAGCTCACAGAACCAGATGTTCAGATGACCAGTAAATGTGAAATCTCATTGATAATCTGATAAGTATAAACTAAAATCTATAAACTAAAATCACAACAAAATCCTATTTTATACTCACATGGGTAAAAATTTGTAAGTTAAATTGTAAATGTTGACAAGAATGTACAGCAAAGGGAACTAATACACTGCTGATGGAAACGAATCTGCGAGTATTAAAGAGTAGTTTCCTAAAGTTGTCAGTATGCTTTAACCAGTAATTCCAGTCTGGAGAGACTCCCACGTGCGTACAAGGAACTGTGCACTCCAGAGTTATTTTTAATAATGTCCATTGATAAAGAAGATAGATATATTCATGTGATGATATTCTTTAAAACTGTAAAAATGAGATTATGAGTATTAATACAATTAAATTACAAAAACAATGTTAAGAATGTAGGCTCCATGTTGAGATATATATATATAGATATAGATATATCCTTACAGTCTTTATCTGAAGTGCGAGGATACTCAGAACGTTGTTTATGGCTGTGCATAGACACTCAGTAGTGGTAGGAACACATGCACTGTGTAGCGATAGTACACACTGCAGTTGAAGGGGAGAGTGACTTGGAGGAAATGTCAGAGAAGGATATTCACAGTGTGTATTCAGTGAATATTTGGACAGAAGCTGTAAGTTTTTATATTTATCATATTACCAATCCCATGTCATTCTTGGTGAAATACAAGCAGCTGTCATTGAAAAGATACAAAATCCAGTTGTAGTGAGTTTAATGAATATCATCCATCTGGCAGTTGATTAGTTTGCTTTGCTGCTATAACAAAATACAACAGATTAGGAGGCTTAAACAATAAAAAATTATTTTCTCATTTTCCTGGAAGCTGGATGTCCAAGATCAAGGTATTAATAGCTTCGGTTTCCCCTGAGGAGCCTCTGTTTGGCTTGTACATAAATGGCTGTATTTTCTCTGTTTCCTGAAGAGCTTGCCTCCAAATATAGTTACATTCTGAGGTATTGAGGACTGGGACTGCAACGTAAGAGTTTGGGGGCACACAGTTAATAAATAGTTCACAGAGCTGTTTCGTGTACACCTTCACAATTTTGAAACCCAGCAAAGCAAGCGTAGCCATTATTCCAGTTTTGTACACACACAGACTCTCAGAGTTGTATAATTGGTGTGTGGTAGAAGTAGGACTTCTAGAATGCAAAATTAGTCGTCTTTTAACAGCCCTGCTTACTAAGGTTGGATTCTCATTTCTTGCCTTTGGCATCGCTTAGTGTTTCTTTCCCCAGTTGATATGGGTTAAAACTTTTTTGTGTGTATTACAGCTTAAGGTTTCTCTGGTTCTCTGGTGTGTATTTGAGAAATCCTTATTTGTTTATTAATATAAACAACGGCTTCACTATAACAGTCTAAAATATATCTGTAGTTGTTTAAAAGTGGATTTACCCTGCCCTGACCTGTGTGACTCAGGTGCTTGGGCATAGTGCCTCGGAGTGAGAGTCGTGGGTTCAGTTCCCTGTCAGGGCACATGCCTGGCTTGTGGGTTCAGTCCCTAGTTAGCTGCGTACAAGAGACGACCAGTCAATGTTTCTTTCTCTCTCTCCCTCCCTACCCCTCTCTCAAAAAGTAAATAATATCTTTTTAAAATTGAATTTACCATAATACACGAAGGGAGAAAAGTGCTTTAAAATAAAATATAGTCAATCAATGACTTTACTGTTAGAATGGGAATAAATACAGCTACATTTTTTAACTAGATTTTTAATTCTCAAGCTCACTTTGAGTCATTTTGTTTTTTATCGCTTTTTTTCCCCCAGTATATAACCAGGACAGTTTTTTAAAAAATATTTATTTATCTTTAGAGGGGAAGGGAAGGAGAGAGGGAGAGAAACATCAATGTATGGTTGCTTCTCGTGCGTCCCTTGCTGGGAACTGGCCTGCAACCCAGGCATGTGCCCTGACTGGGAATCGAACCTCGATCCTCTGGTTCGCAGGCTCGCGCTCAATCCACTGAGCTACACCAACCAGGGCTTTCTTTTTTTTTTTTTTAATTAGGGATTTTGAGCAGCCAGTGGAAAGTAATTTGGTTGATTCAGGTAATTTTTTTCCTCACACAGGTGCGATCTTGTAGTAAAAGTGAGTTGATATCTAAGAGCTCAGAGATCCTCATGATGTTCCAGCAAGTTCACCGAAAGCCCATGGCGTCCTTCGTCACCACTCCCGTTCCACCAGATTTTACCAGGTATGACACAGTTTCCACATTTTATTTTCATATTAAGTGTTTGTGCAAATGCATGTACTTGTTTCAAAAAATGTGTTTCATTTTTTAAGGTGATGTTTATAGTGATGTAGTCTAGCGAATTTTAATTTGTACATGTAAATTTGGCTTTAAAAAATTCTTGTGGAATTACACAGTTTTGACTCTAAAGAGATGTTAGTGAATTTGTAAGTGGTTTCTTCCTGGAGCTTCATCTTCCATACATTAAAAAATAATAATTGATCACATTTTATTTCATGAGTTCTTGTTTTTAAATTACGATATTATTAACGTAACAATCTGCTTTATGTTACAACATAATGATACCATATCTTATATATTGAGAAATGATCATCCTAAGTCTAGTTTATAGTTTACCTCCACCGCCCCATACATAGAAAAAGTATATTTCTTGTAATGAGAACTTTTTTTTTTAAATTGATTATGCTGTTACAGTTGTTCTATTCCCCCCTTCATTCCCCTCCCCCCCTGCCCCCCCATCCCCACCATTACCCCCCCTTTAGTTTATGTCCATGTGTCTCAAGTCCTTTAGATTCTATATTTCCCATGCTATTCTTGCCCCCCCATCTATTTTCTATCTACTGTCTATGCTACTTATTTTCTGTACCTTCTCCCCCCATCTCCTCCTCCCACTCCCCTGTTGCTAACCCTCCTTGAGATCTTCATTTCTATGTTTCCACTCCTGATCTAGCTGTCCTTTTAGTTTGCTTTCGTTTTAGGTGTGGTTGTTAATAACTGTGAGCTTGTCCTCTCACTGTTCATGTTTCTTTAACTTCTTTTTCTTAGATAAGTCCCTTTAACATTTCATATAATAAGGGCTTGGTGATGATGAACTCCTTGAATTTGATCTTATCTGAGAAGCACCTTATCTGTCCTTCCATTCTAAATGAAAGTTTTGCTGGATAGAGCAATCTTGGTTGTAGGTCTTTGGATTTCATGACTTGGAATATTTCTTTCCAGCCCCTTCTTGCCTGGAAGGTCTCTTTTGAGAAATCTGCTGACAGTCTGATGGGGACTCCTTTGTAGGTGATTGTCCCCTTAGCTCTTGCTGCTTCTAGGATTCTCTCCTTCATTTTAATTTTGGCTAATGTAATTATGATGTGCCTTGGTGTGTTTCTTCTTGAGTCCAACTTCTTTGGGACTCTCTGAGCTTTCTGGATTTTCTGGAAGTCTATTTCCTTTGCCAGATTGGGGAAATTTTCTTTTATTATTTGTTCAAATAATTTTTCCACTGGTGGCTGTGCCTTTCCCCTTTCTGGTACCCCTATAATTCGGATATTGGAGCGTTTAAAGATGTCCTGGAGGTTCCTAAGACTCTCCTCAT